CAACATTTGACGGCATTACTAACCTCGACATATACTTTTAATATTTTAATTTCCACGAAAAAACTATAAATGGAAATTTCTTTAAAAATAAAATTATTATTTTATTCTATAGATTAAAAAAATGTTTTTGTTTGAATGCTAAATGTGGGGTTGGAATGGGATGGCCCAAATCTAAAATGGGCTTGTAGGTCAGCCCATCATTTAGGGCCCAAATCTAAAATGGGCTTGTAGGTCAGCCCATCATTTAGGGCCCAAATCTAAAATGGGCTTGTAGGTCAGCCCATCATTTAGGGCCCATACATTCAAGTTGTCTCAGTAATAATAACAATAATTGTTATAATTATAATAAATGTGTCCGACCATAACTGATCTATGCATGGAAATAAGCTAAAACCGAATCTATCCGATAAATTACATAATTTTACGCAGCAAAATCTTTATGGTTTCGGTCAATTATGCAATAAATCCCGACTCCTAATCCTTCGAAGGTAAATGAATTTTTTTATGGGACGGAGATTGAAATAAATGGTGGAAACGGGTGTTGGATGATGAAAGTCCCATATTGGCTAATTTAGGGAATGATCATGGGTTTATAAGTGAGAAATACTACCTTCATTGGTATGAGACCTTTTGGGAAGCCCAAAGTAAAGCCATGAGAGCTTATGCTCAAAGTGGACAATATCATATCATTGTAGAGAATCGTGTTCGTCTAACATGGTATGTCGACCCGTCCAACCAGCATGAATTCGCCGACATGAAAGAGGTTCGTGCACGTTAAAATTAAAGGGTATATTAGTAAAAATAAAATAAAAATGACCAAAAAAAATATATTTTGTCCTTTTTTCATTAATAGAAAAAATGAGATTAGATTTGGAGTATGGGCGAAATAGAGTACGGACAAATCCCTGAGGAAAGTGGAGACGTCGCTCTCACTAAAAAATGATTATTTTATTCTCCAACCGATGTGGCCGATTTTGGTTGGTCCAGAAATGGAATTGGTGGGACCTTTTGTAGGGCCACCTGTCCTTAGCCCAGCCAGTGTCCTACAAGTTGGTGGGTGCCTTAAATTTTGAAGTCAAAAGGTGGAAATAAAATTTTATTGGATTTTTTATATATATATTTTTGTCTTATTTCAATTTCTCTACAACTTTCTGATTTTATTTTATTTTTATTTTTATAAATACACTTTTGAAAAATAAATATTTAATGGCCCATTTTGCTATGCTTCCCAGTTTCTTTACCCTAAAAAAATGGGGTAAAATTTTTTTAAAAATAACATTTTCTTTTTAATGTCTTTAAATTTACGGTCTAAATTTTAGAATGTTTTGTACCAACTCTTTCATTTATGGTAAATTCATGAATTTTAATTACTTGTTGCACCGAGTCATGCATGAGTAGTATTCTTGTTTGAACACTTTCGCAAACGATGGCCACGTTAACAAGCCTCCATTAGGACTGAGGGCAGTAAACGTTTTCGTAAATGGTGGCACATCTCCATCAAGACTAAGGACACCAAACGCTTTGGTAAACGGTGACATGTTAACAAGCCTCCAGTAGGACTAAGGGTAGCAAACGCTTTCGTAAACTGTGACACGTCAACAAGCCTCCACCAGGACTAAGGGCAATCCGATTTGAAAATTTCCTTTCTCCGACCCCTCGAAAACTTCTTGCAAAAACAAAAAATTTTGTTGTGAACCTTTTTCTTATAGGACCTTTCATTTTCGCCCTTATTTATTTTGTTTACTTTTTTTCAACCCCAAAATCAGACATGTACCTTTTGAACAATAATTTTTTATGGGTCAATATTATAATTATTATTATTTGCAGGGTACGAATGGCAACAGATAGTGCTATATATATATATATATTAAGGGTATATATTATAGAGGCAAAAATGATTGGATTTTAATGTATATAAATGGGCCCAATGTTTAGTTTAAATGAGATGGTAAATAGGATCCAATTGTTGGACTAATTAATCCATTAACCAAGGCCCTTACCCACTTCGTATCTAAATAATTATCCCGACATAGATTGGAGAGAGGAATGAGTGTTAGCGAGGACGCTGGGCCTAGAAGGAGGTTGATTGTGAGATCCCACATCGACTGAAGAGGGGAAACGAGTGCGAGCAAGAACACTGGATCTCGAAGGGGAGTGAATTGTGAGATCCCACATCGATTAGAGAGGAAAACAAAACATTTTTTATAAAGGTGTGGAAACCTCTCCATAGCATACATATTTTAAAATTTTAAGGGGAAGCCGAGAAGGGAAATCTCAAAGATGACAATATTTGCTAGCAGTGGGCTTGGGCTGTTACATGCAATATAGCCACGTTATTTGTTTGTCTTGAACTGTTTCTAAGAGTAATTGACCTTAGATATTGTGACGATCCATACCCAGGATTTTAATTAGGGTTTTGAATCTGGATTCAACACATGATACCCCCGTCATTCACCCACGACATCACCACCGTACAAGACTGTCCCCCACAAACCAATACAGATCATTTTAGCATGTTTTATCCTTACTTACATACTTCCTAGAAAAATTCCTCGAACGCCAAACAACATAAAATTGCTTCAATCAAAACACACATAACTTTGAATTTCATACGGTATAGGCAGTAACTTCAATCATTATACTTCTCCTTTACTCGAGTATCACGAATGCAGTATTACAAACTTTATAGCCAACACGAGTATAACTCAGCAGTTTAAGTCTCGACGTCATTGTCAAAGATTCGAAATCTCAACCCATTGGCTGAACCCAAAAAAGAAGAACTTTAAACGCCACGATCAAACTAGTATATTATTATATAATCGAACCAACCAACCACGAATAATCTTATATTAAAATATACATAGAAATGGTTGAAAATAGGAAGGAAAGCAACATGGTAACAATCAATCAATCCATCCATGCATGTTTTTAGGACACCACTTTTTCTCGACAATAGTGATAATATAATGATAATGATAATGATATTCCAAAAATGCATCATTATTCACTTTTTTTTTTTTTTTTTTTTTTTGGTCATTTTGTCTCTTTTTTCTTTACTCCCTTTGAAAAAAAACCAATCTTTTTAATAATTGAGGTTTTGTTATTCAAACATTAAAGACATCAATGTTTGATACTCAAAAAGGCCGACAAATTCATACTTCAGCTCCAACTTGTGTAGTGTAAGCTTACGTGTTTTTTAAGAATATGTTTTTGGTAAAAGATATGAATTTATATGGTTTAAATTAATGTAACAAGTGAGACATTAAAAATTTGTATAAAGTTTAAATATTTTAAAACGTAGACTCGACTTTACGATTTTGAAATAAACGAAGCTTAGTATATCGATTAATATATGTTAAAGAACGATTATAGAATCAAATTTAAGTTTAAAATCTTAGATCCGATTTTTTAAATTTTATTTTTTTAAAATATTTTATAAATTACTTTTGAAATTATTTGATTTTTAAAATATTCTAAATAGTAACGATTTCTATACTGGCTATCATATCTTTCATTAAATTTCATCTTGTGATATCATGTTTTTTTTTTTTTTTTTGTTCGTTTCATTGGGCATAAGAGAGGTATGAGATTATACCCGAAAAATTCAGACGGTCATAATTCGTTTCGATCAATTCAAAAAATAGAGTTCACAATCTAACCCTACAATACTTTTAAGATTGTTATAAAAATTAAGAATATTTGACGTTTGTAACAGATGTTAGTGATCTATTGTGACTCGTGAATGTGTGATATTTGAGCTTTATGAAATCTTAATTATTAATGTAACACATCCTGTGGATAGATAAGTAGAATCCGACCCAATCCAACTCAAAACTACAGGGTTGAGTTGGGTTGTGAACCCATTTAAGTCATTTCGATAACCAGTCCAACCAACTCAAAATTTTGAGCTGGTCCAGAATTTTCTATCAACTCGACCCAACCTAACCTATGCACACCCCTCTACGAGACTCTCTTTTGAATTTACCGACCCAACCGAGCATATTTTAAAACCTACAACAATCTTTACACTAAGTCTATCTCAAAGTTAGTTATATTTTATTACTTAGGGTGAAATATTTTATTTATTCCAAAAAAAAAGTTTCTAGATTAGGCATATTAAGTGCCACTATTATTAAGTGGAAAGAATGTTCTTTTATTCATTTTTTTAAAAAAATACCATTTATTTTTAAAATATATAATCCAAAATATTTAATTTATTGGCATCTAATGACATCATGAACAACGTAACGCCCACCATTAATGCATTAATTAATAATAATTCACATTCACATCTTTGAAATATTTGAGCCTTTCCACTTTTTTCTTCTTTATTATGATAACGAATATTTATTTCCAAAACAATAATTCATGGAGAATCATAATTAATGACAAGTTTATTATGTTAAATCATTATCTCGAGTTCATGGGTTGGCTACTTTCTTTTTTAATCCCTACTTTTTCTCCTTTTTCTTCGAGCTATGACTATCGTTTTGATTCGTGTAAGATCTTGATAACTTTTATCGACAAGCACTAGAGACGGATGGGAAATTTGGTAATGATATGACAGGTAATATAAGTTTAGATTGAAAAAAAAAAATTATAACGCTCAGTGCCATGAATTCATACTAGAATTCAATGGATTTTCACTTATGAGTTTTCTCTTAAGATTTTGAAACGCGTTTATTAGAAAGAGGTTTCCAATTGATGTGGGATCTCACAATCTTCCCCCTAGGGGACTAACGTCCTCGCTGACACACCGCTCTATGTCTGGCTCTGATATCATTTGTAACAGCTCAACCCCACTGTTAGTATATATTGTCTTTTTTTAGTTTTCCCTTCTGGGTTTTCCCTCGAGGTGGGATCTCACATTTAGAATCTAGACTTGACACATGATGACCTTGACTTTAAGTCAAACATGCTTAAGTTTTTTTAAACACGTCTGAACCTTCATATCATCAGGATCTCTCTTATTCGAGTATAGTTTCAATTCATTAATATACCTCTCATTTACTCGAGCATTACATGTCCACTGACTTCCATCTTGATTGTCCTCGAACCACATCCCACCTAGAGGGGAAAAAAACAACACAATGCATAAAATAATTTTTTAGAGCCTAAACAAAAATCTCAAGACCTTATGCTTAAAATATATAATATCTTAATAATGTTAACTATATGACAGGTATTTTAAAATGGGAATATGACAGGTATTGTTGTAACAGCTATTAACTATATTTATTTAGTTCATAAATCATATTATAAAATTTAAATAATGGACAAAAGTACACAAATTATCGTCACAATTACGACCAAGAATCTTTGTGAATTGTTTTTGGCAATTTGAGCACGTGATGAAATATTGGGTTTTATTTGGGACAAACAATACATCAAAATTTTTGTCATTTAGTTTCTAATATTTTATTCTAGGTTAGGTTCTAGATGATATCATTTTCCTTATAAAAGAAAAAAAAAATCCGCTAAATATCGTACTCGAAATTCGAATGGAGGTTAAAATGTCAAAAGAGCTAAATTTTAGCTAGATGTCCCTTAATCAATGCCGTACTCGGGTTCGAGTTTTACCCTCTTCTGATATGAAACTTTTTCACTCGTTAAGGTAAAAAACCTAATCGAAAATAAAACATCGAGTTAAAAGTGAGCATAATCCCATAGTAATTGACATGTATTTCTTTCCTCACGGTTGAATGTCCAACATTAAAGTAAATATAGTTTAAAATTTTTACGGTCAAATTACAAATCTTTACTATTTAAACTCGATGTAAAGTATATTTATTTTAAAATTTATGACGTGTACATTTTTTTTTCTAGTAATTTAAAATTTATGTTATAGGTTTGATTATTTTAATAAAATATTTGAATTCTTGTCTAAATTTTGAAAAAAAAAATTAAAAATACATTTATTTTAATAAAAAAGAAACATATTTAAAGATTATGGTAAAGAAAATGAGCTGGAAAATTGACGTAGTTTGATCCGGCCATGCAAAATAAATAAATAAATAAATAAAAAGGGCCCCACAGTAAATTTGACACAGCACCAATTAAGTAGTTGTTGTCGGGACACGTGTCAGGCTATGGAGTTGCCGACAGTCGCTTTCAATGCCTTCTTAATCATTTCTCTCACATCTTTTTTTTGAATAAAGACAAATGCTGACTGTACATTTCTTTAATGTTATTTTTTTCCTAGAGAATTTCGCCCTAGTTTACTTGGTCTTTATGATTTGATTAAATTTTCAGCCAAAACCCTAATATGTATAGTCCTCATCCAACACATTTAGTAAAGTTGAATAACGTTCGTGTTAGCTTATCGTTATCTAAAAAATTATATTGACATGGTAATGGTAGCACGGGTCGGTTTGTAAGATTCCCTCGCTTAGTTTAGCTGAACGAGTGTGAACGAATGACATTTGCACCAATAATACGATTTTTCTAAAAAATATGTAGGTGAAAATAAAACAGGTTAGAAAGAACTCGCATTGATCGGTAAGATATAGTTTTCACTTTTAGACAAGAGGATAATGATGTCATGTTACAAATTGCTAGTAGATATTGTCAACTTTTACCCGTTACATATTACCATCAACTTCATGGTTTTAAAACACGTCTACTACAGAGAGGTTTTCTTACCTTTATAACGTTCCGTGCCCAAAATTTCAATCAAGGTTTTTTTCCCCTCTTTTTAATATTAAATTTTTAGTCTCGATAAAGTAAAACGTCATTTATGTAACACATCATAAAAAGCATATTAAATTATTATAATCCAGACTTAAAAGTTTCTCGATCAACAGTATTTATCGTAATTATATAAACAACCTTAATGTTAAAAAAAAAAATGTAGAAAAATAATTATAACAAAAACAATTTTGAACGATTTTAAAAATATTATAAGTTATGAAAATTATTGAAAAAATAATAATTTAATAGGTTAAAATATTAATACTCTTTAAAAAAATAGAAATAAATAAATAAAGTATAAGAATTAATGTAATTTATTTAGAAAATGATTAAAATGAAGTGGAAAACAACAAAAAGAGAGAGTGGCAGTGAAAAAAGTGATGAATGTATATGATTGGATGACCAAATCTTAAAAGCTTCTTTTTTTAGGGGACAATAAATCAATTTAATCCCTTTTATTTTTCTAATTTTATTTTACAATAATGTATTGAGTAAATTAAATAATAAAGTGTTATTAAAAGCATATCTTAAAAAAAAAATTAGACTTTTATAAATGCAATGTTTCAAATGGTCAATGTAGTGGTCCTCATGCCTCCATAATTTCACATTTTCAAACCCATTTATTTTCTCTCTTTAAATAAATAATTTATCTTAAATATTTTCTTTAATATTTAAATTATATTTTAACCGACAATTTATAATTTATAAGAATTTGTTGGAACTTGTAGGAGTAAAGAAGGAGTACACATAATGAATTAAAATCATATCTGAATAAGAGCAATTTTCTAACCACTCTGAAGTTAATCGTATTTAATATATATATAAATTATTATTATTTTTTTTTTATCTTGGAAGAAAAATTCATGTTAGAATTGCTTAAATTGTATTTTAAAGTTTTTTAAAATCATATCTATATTTATATATATATATATATATATATATTTCATCAATAATAAAAGGAACAAAAATTATTTGATAGAGTTTGTAATAACGAAACTCATCTGGAGTTCTCCTCAAAGTTTTAAAACCTATCTAATAAGGAGATATTTCCACACCCAGATAAGGAATGTTTTGTTATAATTGATGTGAGATATCATTATTTACTCCCTTGGGGGCCAACGTTCTCGCTAACACACCATTCGGTAGCTGGCTCTAATACCATTTGTAACAGTCCCAAACTCACCTCTAACAGATATTGTCCTCTTTGGGTTTGTCTTTTCGGATTTCTCGGGAAGTTTTAAAATGTGTCGACTAAGGAGAGGTTTCCACACTCTTACACGAAAATTTGATTTTTTTACAAAAATACAATGCAATTCAAACTGTAGACAAAATTAATCGAAACTTAATTTAGATGGGATAGGTCGAGTGGTTCACGTCTAATAACCCTAATCATATATAATAAATTAATTATTATTATTTTTATTAAAAAAATAATAATTAAAAGGCTTATGATGTCATTGCATATTAAAGTGGTGGGCCTTTTTTCCCATGAATCTACAATAGTGTGGAAAATTAGCAACTAATTTTTATTATGTTATTTTGTTTTTATTTATTTGATTTTATATCCCGATCTAGCCTGTTTCAAGAGATCCGAAGTTCGAATCCGTTAAATTTAATTAAAAAAACAACAATAATAGAAACTTGGTCATATATTTTAAAGAATAATTTTATTTTATTTTTTACATAAAATGCAATTAAAAATATAAAAATTAAAATTCATAAATACCTTGAAGTTAGCTGTTTTAAAGTGAAATATTTCTCGTCATTGTCTCAACTTTATCCACTTCTAAACATTTGACAAGACAAGATAACCAAGCATAAACACCAAAATTATACATTTTTTTAAAAAAACATAAATGTTTTTTTAATTTTTTAAAGTAATAAAATGACATTTTATTTATTTATTTATTTATTTTCATCTTCTTCTAGTGCAAACGTACGGATTTGATTTGAGTCCGTCGAGTAGGGTGGTCGGAAAAGGATATTCACGGCGGAGTAGTAGAGCTCCGGCGTTCAGAGACTAACCTGGTTCGAACGTCTGATCGGCTGAAGAAACAATGACTAGGAACGATTCGTTGGACAGCACGGTTAAGGCGAAGCAGGGCAACCGGCAGAGATGGAGATTTACCGGCAAAAGTCTTTGTAAAACTGAAGAAATTAAACCGGCGAAACCAGCGAAGGAAGTTTCCACCGGCGGAGATGAAAATAAGTGGAGCAAGAAGAGGATGAAAGCTTTACTGGCGGTGGCGTTTCCTCGACGACCGCCGTTGCTTTGAAGAAGAAGAGAGAACGAGAGAAAATAAATAAATATTTTGATTTAAAAAATAAGAAAACAATATATATTTTAATATTTTATAAACTTTAAAATTCTAATATTTACTAAATTAATAAAAATATTCACTTTTGAACTATTAATACCACAAAATATTATTTTTACAGGCAAAAGTAACATTAATATTTTAAATTTTTAAAAAATAAATATTTTAATATATATATATATATATATTAAAAATGATTATTAATATTTTGTCGTTTGTTTGATTATTTTAATGCCCGAAATTGGCAAGTTGCACACTCACCTATTCCAAAAGGTATCCTTTTTCCTCCCACTAATTTACTCAATCATATCATTCTTTCAAATCATCCTTTTAAGCCCATGTTTGCCTTAAGCCTTTACCGACCCTTTTTCATAAATCGAATCAACTTCGGTGACCCACGTCTTACGACAAAGAATTTAGTATTAGAAGTAGATTCTCGCTCTCTAACTCTTTTCTACGGTAATATTTTATCATTCGAGTGAGAACGAGAGACTGACATCTGAGTCGAGATTGATTAACCTTGGTTCTTACTGTTATGGATTATATTCGTGAAAACAAGTACTAAAGACTGATGTTGGGATAAGATCGATGTTCAATTTAAGGTTTTTCTTATTGTTAGTTGTCATTTTTCATTTTATCCGTGATTGTTGGCCTTATCAAACTTGGGTTTTGGCTCGACGTTATTTGTGAGAACGAAGATTGATTAACGTTTTTGTCTTTGATGAGATATTTTTTAAAACTATTTTTTTCATATTCATGGAAATGAAATTGAGCGGAATTATTGTTTTTCTCAAAAAAAAAAAAAAAAATCATTTTTATTACGTAAATTTGATCTAAATGTTAATATGAGATTTTACAGAGATCGAAAAAAATATCTAACAATAAATAAGTGAAAATCCAACTATTAGGATTTAACAATAAATCTAAAATAATAATAATAATAATTTGGGGTTGTAATTGCAATAATAATTATAATTTAAATGGTAGTAGGTGGAGGCCGTACTAGTTTAATTAATATTTATATTTTTTTAGATTAAAAAAAAATGGATGTATTATGTTATAACTTATTTTAATAAAAAATAAATTAATTTGGTTTTTGGGAGACCGGACACAACCGAATATCATGATTAGATTAAAACAATGATTAAACACGTGATTAGATGTTCATTACCTCTCTTAATCTTGTCTTTTGGTCCCACTTTCCATGTATACAACCTTAAATTAATTTCTTAAACTCAATCATTTTTATAAATTATTATTTTTTGATTTGAGAGATTTCACGTCCTTTTTTTAATAAGGGTGTAAAAATCTCTTTCTATAAGATAAATCACGGAAAACAAAACATTCTTTAAAATCGTGATATTGATAATGATATGTAACAAGCTAAAGTGAACAATATCTGCTAATCGTGGTTTTGGCGTGGTATATATGGTATCAGAATTAGACATCGAATGGTGTGCCAGTGAAGAAGTTGACCCTCTAAAGGAGTAGATTGTGAGATTCCACGTCGGTTGGAGAGAGAAACAAAACATTCTTTATAAATGCATAGAAACCTTACAAATGGTATTAGAGCTAGACGACGAGTGGTGTGCCAGCGAGGAGGACGTTGACCTCTAAGGGGTAGATTGAATAATATTTTATATTGTAAATTATTTTTAAAAAGGGAGGAAAATATAAAATTATTTAATTTCTCTATATTATAAAGTAATGTGTTTCTTTTTTAAATATAATTAAATCTAAATGAAAGGGACAACATCCCCTTATGAAGTGCGAACATTGTCCTTATTTTAATAAAAATTATAGTTGAGATTATTAGTTTTTTGCTATTATATTTATGATTGAATAATGAAATTGCATCATAGCTTTAATTAATAATAAGATTCTATAAGAGGTAAGACTTTGATCATTTCCCCTAAATTTAGTAACTCTCCCTAACTTTTATATTATTAGGAAACATGCTTTTAAATAAATAAATGAAGTTTATTTTTTTAAAAAAATATATAAAAGTTGACAGCCTACATCATCATAAATTTATTTATTTATTTATCAAGCCTAAACCAACGTCACATAATGTAATACATATTATATTATTATTTTACCAATTTCAGCGAATTATATATTATTGAAAATTTTAATTTTTTTTAAAATTGACTTATTAGATGCAAAATTAAATCGAGGTTCCAAATTGACGTTTTTAAAACATAATTGCTTATTAAATGTTGTTTTTTTAGATTATGAGTCGATTTAACTCAACTCGGTAAAGACAGAAAAGTCGTATTATTGAATTGACAAGTATGGTATCATTCTACATTACAAATGGACAAAACGGAAAAGACTAAAAATACTTAATGAATAAATAAAAACATGTTAAAATTGAGTTTGAAAGTTAGGATGGTGTCCCATATTCTTTATCTTGCGGTTACGCTCGTGGGGTTTTCATTAGAAGGAAGGTCATGATCGAAATTGTTTGGTTCGTAAAGAACTAGATTGATGGTCTTGTCTTACTCTACTTTTTTCCGGTTGAGTTAAGTGGTCCAAATTAAACATTAGAGCTCCGAGTGTTTGTATACTTCACGTTATCAGTTTAGAATATTAATTTATTAAAAAAAACAAATCCCGAGTTCTACATGGTAAACAAAAAGAGGGATAGGTTAAAAAATAATTAGACACGTTTCTACAGTGATAGCAATAGAAAGTGAAGCGGAATTCAAACACGAGAGAAAAAAACAAATAAAAAAATTTTAAAAAAATGTTGGGTGCTTTAAATTTTTGAAAAGGAAGCCATGTAAAAATAAAATTTGTGAAAAGTATGTTTTTGTCAACCATGTGAATATGTTCATCTCCCATTATGAGACGACGTCGTTTTATATCCCTTATTTAAATTGCATGTCCAAAATTAAATATTTTCTTTTTTTTTGGGGGGATTTTTAATTAAATTAAATTAAATTTTTGGAGACAAGTGTATGGCTGAGATTTGACAACAAGTTTTTAGCTTTGTTATTTGGATGAAGAGAATATTGGGAGTGGCCAACCAAATCTTGCAAAATCGTGGTTTCACTAAATATCGTTTTCCTCCATTTTCCCTTTATTTAATTTAATTATTATATAAATTTCAACTATAAAAAAATTTATTTAAAATATTAAAAAATGGATAATATTATAATTTTTTTTTTAAAATATTAAAAAAGATTCGGTGTTTTTTTTTTTTTAATAATATTAATAGAGTGTATTTATTTTTGTAGAACTAGTGGCAAATGTGACATTTCATTAACAAAGTTCTTATTTAAAAAGTTGACTATTCAATACTTTGACTTTTTGCAAAAAAACTTATTCATTTATATAATTAACCATATTATTAAACTAAAAATTTATTTACTTAAATAATAATAAAAACCATTATCTAATTAATCTTCCTTAATTAAAATTTAAAAATAAAAATAAAAAATTTAAAACTAATATTTAGTTTTTCAATAAAAAGTAATTAACCGCATAAAAAAAATATCTAGGTGGAAATAGTGTTTGAAAGTTTATTTTTAAAATAAAAATCAAATGGACCTTAAAAACTTAGGTATAATATTAAGCTTGGAATCATGAGATATTTGCATTATTATATTGTGGGGGTGACATAAACATTATAATAATGAATCTTATATTATAAAATATCAACCAATATGATCCATATTTCACCATTTGTGAGACCAAATATGATATTAGAAGCTCTAAACAAATACATATTTAATATGGTTGGTTAACATATATATTACGCATTTTATTTATTTTATTTATTTTATTCTTTTTCTCCCTCAACTTGGCTTAATAATAGCTTATATCAAGATTAGGTATTGTGTCACATGCCAACTTTAACTTTTTTTTAATTTTCTTTTGATAATTAATCTAGGCATTATATATAACATATGTCGATATTTGTTTAATTTGGACTCCGACCCCCTTTTGGTACAGGGTAACCTCAAAGTTTTCATTAAAAAAAAAAAAAAGTGAATTATCTCACGAACATTATTGAACAAATATTTGTTAACGTGTGATTATAGAGATGTCCACGAAGTGAAGACTTTGGATAGGGTCGAAACGGGGATGAAGAATATAATTCTCGACCCTGTTTAGTTAACAGAGAAAAATCTCTCCCCATTCTTTTTTCCATTCGAAACAGGTATTGGGATATTAACTCTACAAGTTAAACAGACATATTTACGTTAATAATTTCAGTGACAGTAATAATAAATAAATAATTTTTTTAATATTTATTAAAAATAAATAAATAAATAAACTTCAAACTAGATTTATTTATTTACAACAATATTTAGATTATTTAAATAATTTGAAACAATAATGATCCACTACAAAAGAACATGATTAAAAAAGTTAAGAAATGAACTTTATATTTAATAAAATGATTGAAAACTCGAAATTAGTTATTAGTGGAATTAATCATCATCAATTACTTAAGCTTCTAGAAAAACATTACAAGAACTATTTTTTTAAAAAAATTATATAATTATTATTTTTTTTAACAAAATTAGAACATTGGAGATTCATTGCCCCTATTGAAACTATATTTTATGTCTTCAAAATCAGACACGTGGCCTCTCATGTTTTGTCCTCCACCATCACATAATATTAACAAAAAATAATTTCATATATAAAACGAAATGCTTCATTTAACTTATTTGTCTCCAATTATTTTTTTCTTATCTTCAAAAACTAATTATGAGAGAGAGAGAAAACCCAGTTGTTTTTTTACTTATAATTAAAAAAAAATTAATTAAGTAACAAAAATTAGCAACTAATTAAAGAGAGATAAATAGGGATGGAGGATGGGCTTTAAGTGTTAACACCAACCATGAAAATGAAATTAAATGATAATAACTTCCCATTTTACTTAATTTCCATTTCATTTCATTTCATTTCAACAACACTGTACAGTTCTAAACCCAACACAAAATTAAGCTCTTTGAAAGAATTAAAACCAAAAGAGCTTGAAAAAAAAAAAAAAAAAAAACTTGAAGAAATTGAAACAACCCACAATCCATAATTTATTTATTTATTTATTTTAATAATCCCACAATAATCCTTTGAAATTGGTGGAAATGAATCCCATTCCCATCTTACCGTCGTTTTGAATTTCATCGTAATCCTCGAGAGATGGTAGCCACGGCGGTGGGTAAAGCCAGGCGGCGGAATCCTCTGTTGAGTAGTCAAGGAAAACGAAGGAGTCGCCGCAGTCGCCGTCGTAGGTGGTGCCGAGAGTGGGAAGCTGGACGATTTCGGTGAGTTCATCGGAGGCGTCGGAAGCGTCGTCGGTGGTGGTGGTGGTGGGAATGTTGTTAGGAGATAGATTGTGCATGTGAGCGGCTTGGGCGGCAGCGGCTTGGACATCGCGAGGGGCGAGAGAGACAGGGCGGGGGAGGAGGTGGACGAGGTCGGGGAAATTAAGGATGGCGGAGTTGCCTTTGATGCTTAAGGCGGCGACGTCGTGGGCTCGAGCCGCCATTTCAGGGCTGGGGAAAGTTCCTAACCAAATGCGGGATTTCTTTCGAGGCTCGCGGATTTCAGACACCCATTTCCCCCAATTCCTCATTCGGACGCCTCTGTAAACTGGGTGCTTGCTGGAATTCGAATCGGAATTGGATTCTGGGTTTCTGATGCGCTTGATTTTCTTTGGAACAGCGTTCGAATCAGAGCTCATCCTTTTTTTTTTCTTTTCTTTTGGGATTTTTGGGAAAGACCTTTGGGGTTTTGTTGTTTTCGTGCCTCCCAATCCCACTTATAGTTATAAACACACAGAATCTCAACCCTTATAATTATTTATTTATTTTTATAACCAAGTAAAAAAAAAAAAAAAAAAAAAAATTCCTTTTTATTTTTTTAATATCAAATATACAAAATTCTAGGAGCTACACTGTTACAGATGAGTACTACAGAAGTGAGTTCGTTGTATTCATTTTAGGGTCGATTTTGTAATCTTTTGTACCCGTGCCCCTTTTCCCATTTGTAAATAACTTGATCTTCGCTCGAAATTTTAGGGTTGAAATGGGGAGTAGGGATATTATAGGTTTATAAAATAATATTGACAAATTTTCATTATTTTTAATCAACATAATTGTCCTCATATTCATGATACCTACCCAGCTATTTTTCATAATATATTTAATTAATTAATTATTATATTAATAATTTAATAATTTCTAATTCATTTTTTCTAGAGTGATGTATAGCCTTATTGATAAAAGACAAGTGAACTAACTTTCCTTGTTCATTTTAGCCTTCTCAATTGGGTAAAGGAATATCCCTCAAACAAATTACTCAATTTTTATATTAATATATATATATATATAAAATTAATTAATTGAGTCAATCATTAGATTTTAATGTTGACAATATAGACAAATAAATTGACATTTAATTTAAAATTATAAAATATAAAATATTTATATTAATAATTAAAATATCTCGTATCAACCAATTCATACGTTACCAATTCATATGTCAACATGCATTTGGTAATGAATCCCGATCAGTTTAGAGTTTGTAAAAGTTTTTGGAATAAAAGCGGTATAAATCGAGAAAAAATTGTTAGAAAATGGATTGATATTTGAAGATAAAAAAAAAATAGGGTATGATAATAGTTGGAGGTGTTTGACTCAAGATAGGTAATGTCATTGTCACTAGTCATCGTCATTGTCGAGAATTTATTTTTCCCCGGTAATTTCTTTAGTAACACAACAAATAAATTCTTTTTTCTCCGACCCCATTTGAAATTTGAAAAATGAACGAACAAAAATCAAACCAGAGGGTCCCTCCCCTGTCACCCCATCTCTCTATTTTTCTTTATTTCTTTAAATAAATAAATAAAATTTGATTTTTTTCAACCTATAATCAACCTATTACGTAAGACTTGTAAGACTTGAATACGAATAGTAATGGCATTAATTTATATCTTTTCCAGAGGAATGTGAAGAAGATGTTAGAAATGTACGTGAATAAATGAGCTAGCTAGAATTATATTTACTCGGGTACGTTGTTACATTAGGATTTTTGAAGCTTTTATGTGGTCGTGATAGCATGACATCTCGGGTTAGACTTTATAACGCTCTCATCATTCTAACCCTAAAATATTAATACCATTTTTCTAATGGGGTCGTCCTGTAGAGCCCATTCTATTTTTCAACGCTTTGGAATGTGTTGTTGTAGGTCGGCACATGCCCGAGAGAATAAAAGGACACCAACATTTTTACAAGCTATATTTTTAGCAAATAAAATAAATCATGAAATATCGATATATATGTAGGGTAATATTTGACTGACTTTTTGCCATTGTTTGAACTCGAGGATAGAAACCCACAAATAAATAAATAATAAATGTAAATCCACGTGGTAATTTTTTAAGGGAAGAAAAAAAAAAAAAAAAAAACTTACTCGATGGGCCTATGATTGTACCATAATAATGATTATTTATTTTTTGAATAATTATATTTTGATGATAAATATTTTATCTTTTACTCTTTTCAATAATGAATGGAAGATGCTTTCCAACGATCCAATCTAATCCTTTCCCATTCATTTCTCTATAATTAACGAGTACTATTTTTTTAAAATATTTATAATTTATTTATAATTAATACATAGATCGTATATTTAAATTCTAAATTATTTTAATTAATTAAGATATATATGATCGATCAAAAAATTATAGATTCAAATCTATTTTTTTTATAATAAATAACTTAACTTTAAAAATATTAAATATATTTAAATTCAACGACAAAAGTATAGGAATCTTCTTAATAAAATTGTGAAAATTTAGGGATTAATGTGTAATTAACAAAAATATATTTGTAAAATATAAAGACTAAATAAGTAATTTTATTATTTTTTTTAAAAAAGAAAATATTCTTCTCTTATCAATCCCAACATAGAGATTGAAAAATCCAAAAGCTGCCACTGAAAAAAGGTTACTACTTTAGGAACAACAAGTACATTAGTGTTTGATCATCAGCTACCAAGCCAGCCAGCCAGCCAGCCAGCCAGCCAGCCACAGAATTTCTTGGGTGTTTTTTATTCTTAATTTATTGGTCGTTTAAGGATTTTATGCAGCTCGTTTTCTTATCCTTTCTTGTTGTGTTTTTTTTCTCCCGTCGTCCTGCTTGGAAGGCTGCCTTCACTCATTTTCTTGAGAAGAAAACAAACACTTCTTATGTGCCCTTTTTCTTCGCTCTTTTCAAGTTGAAAGAGGTGGGATGACGAGATTTGAATCCTTCCCGAGTTTGTAAATGGCGTTCATATCAAGTTTGGGCGAACAAAGCAAAAGGGATTATACGGATTGTGAAACGGGTGGATGTTGATTTTAACATTGAGATTCAAATCCTACCTAGAATTGCATAGTTTAGCAGTTAAGGTGTAATCGTCTAAGCCTACTGTTACTAGATATTATCTTATTTGAGTTTCATTCTCCTAATGACGTGGGATCTCACATAAGGAACTGATACGTTTTCATGAGGTCGAAACTTTAAATTTCCACCTAATGAAAATGAAATGTGAAACGGGACGGGGACGGGGACGGGGACAGATGTTGATATGGATAACAGGATTTTGAATTCGACCCAAGTTCTTAAATAGTGTTCATATCAAGTTCGAGCCGAAGAAAACAGATTACATTGAATGTGGAACGGTTCGGGTGTCGAGTAGAATAAAGGGCTGGGAAGGCTACCCAGTCATCTCAAATGGTATTAATATAAGGATTGAGGAAGATCAAGAGAGGTGGGGGAAGGAGTATCTAAAACTAGTTATTAAGATATCTCCATTATGAGATCAACACAATCTAGAACTGTCCCAAACAAATTTCTGGGGCAACCACAATTAATTCCCATCTGGTTAGGTACACTACACCTCTCTCTTTCATCCATTGCCTAATTCCTAAGTTCTCCAGCTTTTGAATGTGCATTTAATATGCTAAAACACACACAAATGAACAACCGACGCAACATATGCAAAAACTCAAGTCCACCGCTAATAGATATGATTCTCTTTGAGCTTCCCCTCAAGGTTCTAAAACGTGTATGCTAGGAATAAGCTTCCACATCTTTATAAGGAGTGTTTCGTTCTCCTTTCTAACGGATGTGAGATCTCACGATCCACCTCCCTTGAAGGCCCAACGTCCTCGCTACCACACCGCCCCGTGCCTGACTTTGATACCATTTGTAATAGCTCAGCCCCACTGCTATTTCTCTTATGGGTTTCCCCTCAAGATTTTAAAACACATCTGTTAGGGAGAGATTCTCATACCCTTATAAGGAATGTTTCATTTTTCTCTCTAACCGATGTGATCTCTCACAATCCAACCCTCTTGAGGCCAACATCCTTGCTGACACACAGCCTGACACCATTTGTAACCGCCTAAACTCATTATTAGCAGAAATTGTTCTTTTTGGACTTCTCTTCTAAGCTTCCTCTCAAGATTTTAAAATAAGTCTACTCGAGAGAAGTTTCTACACTCTTATAAGAAATACTCCGTTTTCCTCTCCAACTGATGTAATATCTCACCACTAAAGAAAGGCAAAATCATAAGCTTCACACTCCCTGGTTGTCACATGCATTGCCTCCTTTCTTTTGTCTTTCAGCTGATTCAACCGAAGATTGAATAAGCAAAATACCTTAATAAATCCAAATGGGTTTGGTTTGGTTTTGTTTTGTGAGATGTTCTGTCTTTTTTGCTGTCAAACAGAGTGGAACGAATGGCCATTGATCCTCTGTAATCCAAGCCAGAGATGAATGAAAATATAACGAAGGAAGTAAAACTCCAATCCAATGAAGGGTTTTGTTTTGAATGCAGTAGCTTTCAAGAACGTGTCACTGTTTCTATCTTAAAGACAGACAGGTGACAAGCTCCATGAAACATGTTGTCAGACATGTATGTGATGGTTACCTCTCACAAAATTGGTCTATTTCTTTTGGTCAAAAGAAATTGGGACTCCTATGGAGCTCTGTATAAACAACGTACACTCCCCCATAATTTTTTTACCACCTGCAACAGTTGGATAAGTTTTTTAAACCATTACCTGCATCAGTAAGAACTGTTGTTACTCACCGTAAATCCGACCCCGTCTCGCCTCCCCTCGTTCAAACTACATCGTTTAAACGATTTTTTTCTCATAAGGACAGGCCATGCTGTTTTGTTTACTTTCCAAGGCTGAGAGGAAATTTAGGCTCGAGTTTCTCAGATGGGTCCATAGTTAATGATTGGGTGTTGTACTCAGACACGAGTAATTACACGTTGTATGAGAAGGTTTTGAACCATAAAAGAATGTCCTGGTAAATACTGGGTTATGATAATCTCTGTAGTTTTCGATAAGTATGCTACTAAAAACGAGGGGGAGGTCGACGTTGGCAGGCGTTTTTCCTACATTTTTCTTCTCTTGGGGCTTAAAATGAAGTCATTGTCGTCGTCATCGCTATCGTTCGTGATCTTTTTCTTTGCTTTTAGATCGCCATTCTTCGGTGGCTGCTGTGGCCTCTGTGAGCTCTCTGGTCTGCTCGGTGGTTTTAATGATTTAATCGGAGTCCCGGTCCTCTGTTCCTTTTGTCTTCTCAGTTTCTTCTCGTACGCCTTTTTCGCCTTTTCGGGAGATAACATGCCATGCTCCATCATCCTATAAATTTAAACTGGTTAAGTCATCAATTTAAACATAACTCAACTGATTAAAATATATGTTATTAATTGAGAGATCAAAAATATATATCC